CGATTTGGATCGAATTCTTACCATGATTGTTGCGATTGCGGCGTGGATTTGTGTAATTGATCACATCTGCGGGCGGCTGGATTGCGCGGCTGTTGGCGAATTGAAGATAGGAAGATGCTTTTTGCTTTTTGATTTTCTTTTTCCCTCTTGGATCGCTTTCGTGTTTGTGGAATTTTCTCGGGAAAGTGACAGAGAGAATATGGAGAAGAGAAAAAAGGTAGGGCTACGGAGAAAAATGGATCTCTGCTTTGGTTGGTGCTGCGGAATCTGCCTATCTTCTTGCTCTCAACTCCATCCATACCCGAACCTCACTCCGACCCCAAACCAAACCCCGCCACATTTCTTTTTCTTTTTATTTAATACGAACTTTATCAAGTCTATTTAAAATTTGGAGGAAGAATTAGAACATAACGATGACCTGAAAATGGAGATGTATTCCTCTCCTTATAAACCCAGGATCATTCTCTAAAGGGACTAACTCCCAACCATTCTCAACAATCTTCCCTCGAACAAAGTACATTATAATAAGCCTTCCTTAAAGCTTATGTAGCTCTCGAATAGTCTCCCTTTAATTGAGGCTTGACTCCTTTCTCTGGAGCTTGGGAACTAACTATACCATTTGTTCAACACTTTAGTCACTTTTGAGTACACTTTAGGGCATGACTCTGATACCAAGAATATTTGCTAAAATTACCCTACCTAAATGGTGTGAAAGTTCTGTATCTATAATAAAATAAATTACAAGGAGATGAAATGAAAATAAACAGAAACATACTCATGCTAAAGACGCAGATATTTGCATATAATAAAATATTAAATATGATATATATGGTAAACTATAATTTAGCACAAACATTTATGAACAATTACAAAGGCAAGAATAGTACTGGAAAAGATTAGGAGAGCAAGAAAAAAATGACTGATTTTGTGTTTCTTAATAGCGTAAAGTAGTCGGTTAGCTAAATCAGTTAAAGGAAGAAAGAGTAGTTGGGATCTGACTAAATTCATCGAGTTGTTTAGACAGGTTATTAATGGAGATGGAATAAGTAGCTCGAGATCATTCAAAGGGGATTAGGAACGAGAATCTCGATAACCTAAATAAAAACGGTGACGATAATAAATATTATAATTTTAAGAAAAATTAAATGTAGGGTTTAAATTATGGGCTTAATGAAAGTCCAAAATGTGTCAAAGACTTCAAAATGGGCCAAGTTGGAATAAAAAGTCAAAAAAGATTCATAAATGGGTGAAATTTGGAAAGACTAAATATTTTCAATATTACAAAACTACCCCTGAACGACGGAATTAAATTATAACCCGAATAATTAGATTGAGTCTAAAAATAAAGACGCGTAAATATATTTTTAATTAACACGAACTTATTTCAATTTTAAAAGAAAAAGAGAAATCTTTTAACATATTTTTTTAGCAAAATTTAAAAACAAACCTCTATAAATGTAACATATCATAGAAAAAGAAATAATATTTTGGAGTTGAAATTATACTTAATATGATGTTACTCGTTGCTTGCCCACTTAATTCTATTATGAAAGCCCATATTTTTCAAACATTGTTATTATTAGTAATAATGCTTTTCTACACGTAACGGATCAAAATAGACAATATCTGCTAGCGATGCGTTTGAGCTATTACAAATGGTATTAAAGTCAGACACCGAGCGGTGTATCAACGAGGATGCTGGGCTACCAAGGGGATGGATTGTTAGATAGATCCCATATCGGTTGGAGAGGGAAATGAAACATTCTCTATAAAAGTGTGGAGACCTCAGGCTGACGGTGACACGTAACGGGTCAAAGCAATCACTGTACAAACCCTAATAAAACCATTTCATCTTCCCTCGAGTGGATTTAGTAAATGACATATCTTAAATATTGAGGGAATGCTATTCTTATAGCCATTAATAATATAGGCAGTATGAAAAATTCTCCTTAAATGACTTTAGACTCAACAATCGGTATACAATGATAAGTCGTGTTGACTTTGTGCAATAACTAAGGTAGCCCTATATAAAACCTATGTTTTTGGTCGAGGAAATGCTGCTCTTACTGTAATAATAAATGAAGGCAATATGAAAAATTCTCTTTAAGTGGCTCTAGACTGAACAATTGGTATACACGGTTAGTCGTGTTGTTTGTGCAATAACTAAGGTAGCACTATATGAAACCTATTTTCTCGATTGAGGATCTTGGACGGCGGTCGGGTCCACTTCGAGAATAGCTTGGGACGCCTCGCAAGCTTGGCCACCGCTCTTATAGCTAATAATAAATACATACAGTGACTCGAGACTCAACAATCGATATACAATTGACAATTTGATTAGGTTATAGGGTGAAAATGGTAATTTAGATATGGACAAATTGTTTATTGAAGCCTTGCACGACTGGCTTCCAAAAAACTCGACATGTCGAACTTTTCAAAATTTTGTCACTTTTACCTTCGCCATCTCCTTGAGAATAATTTTTAATATATAAAACGACAAGTAGCTTTGTTGGGCAGCGCATGCCCAGCTGGGTCAATAATAACCACTATTAATTTTATTATATTATATAAAAGATTTATCTTTTCTTTTTCACAAAATAAAATTTTAACTTTTAAAATCATAAAACTAAAATTTAGTATTTAAACATGTTTTAAAATTTATTATTATTTTTTAAATCGACTATTTAAAAAAAAAAATTAAAAAATTAAAAATTTTATTAAACACTTTTTAAAATTTATACACGAAGCTCGAAGACAACTATCCAACTTAAATGATCTAGAGTGGAACGAGGTGAGAACCCGAGAATCATACTACTATGGTCGAAAAAATATGTACCTTCATAAGACACTTTCTTACTAGTTTCAACTCTGTAGAGTGTTTAAGGGTTATTTAAATTTTTGGAGTAAAATTTAAATTATTTTATGTAAAATTAAGTGAGTCAATTTCCACGTTAGAATTATAATTGATGATTGTCGGACTCGTTAAGTAGAATTAACTTTTAGAAAGTAGTGTTACGCTGACATTAAGCACCGGGACTCCTTGAGTCTAATTGATGGGGACTCCTTAAATAGAATTAAATTTAAGAAAGTAGTCTAATCAAACATCAAGGGGTCGTAGTACTTCGGCGAAGCATCAAGCACCAAGGGGTTCTAGTAGTGACCCTATCATCGACTCGGTCGAAAGACTTGTCTTATGTATGATGATGCATGTCTAGTGACTTTTAGACATATCATGTATGTTGATATGATATACTATGATACATTATAACATGATGACATGAGATGTAAGATGATGATATCTCTTGTTACGATGACGAGCATGTATGAGATGCCATGTTGCACTATGGTAGTGAAGAGTTTTCTAATACACACCCATTAACTGATGTTAATCTCAGCTCATGCGTGCATTGTCCATAGTAAGTTTTGTTAGTATCTCATCCCTCGTAGCTCCTTGCACCTGCGTCACAGGCATCCTATCGATGCATCAAATGCACCTTGCCTTGTATCACGTTGCATGCCTATGCTCTTCTCTCGCTGTCACAACCCGACAATCCAACCTACTAAACTCGGAATTAGAGGCTTGGGTTACGAGTACTATAAAATTTTGGGTTAGGTTAAAAAAATTCTCAACCAAACAGATAATTTAGGGCACATATTTGTATATAATAAAGAAAGAAGTGTGTGGAGAAGGAGATGAAACGCCAACAGTTCAAGAACAGCCAACAGTTCCGTACAATTGAGGGGAAAATGAAACGCCACAACAAATCTCAGCCGTCCACAGATTAAAAGAAAAATCCAACACGTTGATGAGTCTGAATTTGCATATCATTTTCATTGTCCTTTTCTTTTGTTCTTTGTATGAGCTGTTCAATTTTGGCTTTATTTGTTATAATTTTAATTTTTGAGTTTTACATTATTGTCCTTTTTAAATTTTTTTAAAATTTTGTACATAAATTCGTACGCATGTTCGTGAGTTGAGTTATGTTAGGTTGAATCGGGTCTCAGATATTTTTTAACTTAACTTAATTGTTTCGGTTTGTAATTTTTTTCAACCAATAATAATTGGTTAAATATTAGTTCATATCTTTCAGGTTGGGTCCGATTGGACAGCCCATCGCTAGAAGTTTACACACCCTTAACAAAAAGAATGTTTCGTTTCTCTTCACAACTGAGGTAAAATCTCATAATATATATTTGAAAAATTAGATTGGTCGGAGAATAATTAAAAATAATATTAAAATAATTACAAAATTATGTAATAAATTATAATGGAAGCAAAAATACAATTTTAATATATGGTTGGGTTGAATCCAATTTATTTTATTTAGGCTTTCTTTTATTTATTTATTTGAGTTCGTACAAATAATAACAATAATAAATAATTTAAATCTTATTTATTATTTTCCCTATTTTGCTAAAATTATTTTCTTCTTTAGGAATTTAATATTATGCTCCAAAAAGAACTTACAGATAAATATTTAATATCGTAGGCTTATTTCACATATTTTTTTTACTTTTTTAAAATTTAAGATATTAAATATCTTACAAAAAAAAAAAAAAAAAAAAAAATCGAAATATGGGAGAATTTGACCTTTTTCTACGTTGAATTCCATAATCTTTTTAGTTTAAAGGTTAAAAAGATATATATTCTTTTTATCGATAAATTATATAATTTTTTTAATTATACCCTTCGTTTAATAATATATATATATTTTGAATAAAATTAAAATGTGTGATTTTAATTGGGCCAGATGGAGAGAGGAGGGGGAGCTTTTTAAATATTTAAATTAATGTAAATAATATAGTTCATCAATTAAAATAGTAAAATTTATTTTCACCTCTGATTTTTATTTGCGGTTTAAAATTAAAATTAACAAAATTAACAAATTAAAAAATATGAGGGAGAGAAAAGAAAAACTATTTTATATTTACCATTTAAATAATAATAATAATAATAAAAATAAATAAAATATTGAACAAAATTGATTATAAATCGGAGACTTCCCTTTGGTTAGATGGATAGAAACTTATTCTCCAATTTTCCTCTCTTCCAAACAGCTTTGCGATTTGATAATCAAAAAAACCGCTGATCTCATCGGAGATTCTCCTTCTTATCTCTTCCTCCTCCGGCTGCGTCATCAGGATCTTAAGCCAAAAGTGAGAGAAAAATGGTTGCCAAAACCAATCAGACGATTCCGACGACCTTGATCTTCACCTATGGTACTCTGAAGCGAGGATTCTGGAACCATATGTTGTTGCAGGACCTGATGCGGACCGGAGACGCCTCTTTCGTTGGAAGTTACAGGACGAAGGAGAGCTTTCCGCTCGTTTGCGGACCGTACCGAGTGCCGTTTCTGATAAACTCGCCCGGTTCTGGTTACCGAGTTGAAGGCGAGGTTTATGCGGTGACGGACAGAGGACTCGCGCGAACCGATGAACTGGAAGGTTTGAACAACGGCCACTACGTCCGCCTGCCAATAGACGTTGTGGATGCGAACGGCGGCGTCGGCGGCGTGGTTGTGGCGGAGGCGTATTATGCGCATCCGAGTTACGCGATGGAGTTGTGGAGGAAGGAGGGGAAGAAGAAGGACGGCGGCGGAGTGATTAATTCGTACTCGGAGAAAGAGGCGAAAGGCTATGTGAAGCGCAAAGATAGGCCTCAACATCTCTCATTCCTTGATCATATTCGTATATTCCTTTCTTCGTCTGATTAGAGATTTTCTCCTTTTTTTTTTCTGTCAAATTTGGGGATTTTTTTTCCCTTCGTGTGACGAATTACTGTGTGTATTGTTGTTTGCGATTTCGTTTAGTGCTTAATCTAATCGTAATTAGGTTTTTATGAGATTATGATTGTAAATTTCTGAAGGATTTGGTCTCTGTTCTTCCGGTATTCCGCGGTCAGTGGTGAGAATGCGCCTGTTTGGATACCGAGAAAATTGTCTGGAAACTGGAATTTTAGACAAAATTTTCAAAAAAAATTAGAGAGCAGTATAGCAAATTCTCTCTTGAATCATGATTTTTTTGTTTCTTTTGGAATGATCAGAAACAAATATCTATCCCTCTTTATTAGGGAAAATTTCAATTTCCCCTGAATTTAAGCATAGTAGGTATGATAATAAATTGGAGGAAAAAGAAAAAAAAAACTAATTCTTAATATTTTTTAGATTCTTTTAATTAATGTTATTAAAATAATTGAATTTGTATTCTTATTTAATTGAATTTAAGTATTTTTATTGTTTTTTTTTTTTTAATTTCTTAAAACTTCTTCATTAGTTCTTAACTCTGGAAAGTTTTTATTAATCAAAACTATGGTATTTGAATTATAAAAATAAAATTTAAGAAAAAGATATTAATAAGTTTACTATTTTTAATATATAAAATATAAAGAATTATACGATAACTTATCCGTCCAAATATGGCCCTATAGTGGGTGGAGTAACTCGTAACTCTGTTTTCGAGAAAGTGATCCATACTCAATCCCGGAATGAGTGGTTTGACTTTGGATCGAGTTTGAATCAAGTTGGAATTGAACTTGAGTCGATAAAGTGTGTGGGAACAAAAGAGAGCATAAGAAGTAAGAGAAAAGAATGAATGATGACTTGATGATTTGAATGATGACCCTCTCCGTCTCTACTTTAATAGTTGGTTGGAATAGAGATGAGATGTTCAAACAGTAGAACAATGAGAGGGACATCAACGTTCATAAATCTTTAAGGAATTGGACAGACTCGTGGTTGTGGCTAGTAACAAAAGTTATATAGAAAGGTAAATTAGTTTGGGTTCGTTTGAAGATTTATTTTTTAAACCTAATGTAACAGCTCAAGCTCATCACTAGAAAATATTGTCTTTTTTGAGCTTAAGATATTGTCCATTTTACGCTTTCCCTTTCAGCTTTTCCTCGAGGTTTTGAAACACGTATACAGTATACAGGAGATAGGTTTCCACATCCTTACAAGGAATATTTTATTCCTCTCTCCAACCGATGTGGGATCTCACACCTACGAACCCAATCGAGTTTATTTGTCTCTCGATTTTATATTTGTATGACGATTTTGTAAGTTTTTTTTAGTGCTCTTTTATATATATATATATATATATATATATATATATATATATATATATATATATATATATATATATATATATATATTTGTTCAAATATATATTAAAAAAACAACAATAAAAATAAAAAGATGTGGGCATCTATCAAGCTATGTAATTGATTACTTCACATGAATATAAAACTAATAATTTAATTTTTTTTAATAAAAAAACGAAAATAATTAGAAATTAAAAGTTTAAATATTCCTTTGTCATTTTCAATTTAGTTTATTTTACTCGTTATATTTTAAAATCTAACTATTTTGACATTTATATTTTAATTTTAATTTTATTTTTAAGGAACTAAAAATGGTTTTTTTTTAATAGTACTAAAATAATTAAAAATTAAAAGCTTTAGATTAAATAATTATAATTTCAATTTTAAATAATTTTTAATATTAATGGGGTATTCACTTTTGAACGGATGCACATTATATTATTAAATTAGAGACTGTTTTCAAAGCAATCGTAACTCAGTCGTAATAAATATGAATTAATTTGATAAAATTGAAGGTTTAGTCTTCGTTTCCATATATATTATACTAAAAAAATGTTTTATAGATTGGACATTCTATACTTTAATATTGAATATATGTTGTTTGGGTTATGAGTGGTTTGTCGACATGAACATCAACTGACATGAATTATGTACAATTGACTAAAAGGTTAGAGGTTCGAGTGTCTCACCGTTGAATTAATTTTTTTTTTTAATGAAAATAGAAACTATGAGGCATTAGAAATGCCTTAGTTACTAAGTTATTCAAGTTGACTTATATTTATAAATTAGAAAAATAAATTATTATTTTATTGTTAAAAAATAAATTATTATTTTATTGTTTTTCTTAAGAGGGAAGATTAAAAATTTCATAGATAAGGCCAACTTGGTTGGTAGTATCACCACGTTTAGTTTAAGGCTAAATTATAGATTTTTTTTTAAAAAAGAAAGAGAGACAAAAAAAAAAAAAAAAAAAAAAAAAAAAATTTCTATTGATGAATGAAATTAAAAGCCTACGAAAGAATAGGACTCGAAAAGATGAGAGGATGATTCATAAGAAGCATTGCATGTAATACATCAAAAGGGCGAAATGGGTATTTGTGGTACTCAGGCCATTTCCTCGAAATTGACCTGTAAATCTGACATGAGGTTATGATCGGAAATCACTATATGAGTATGAGTTAGGCCATTCCCTCGAAATTGACTAGTAAATCTGACATGAGGTTATGATCGGAAATAAAGAAAGTCTCGAGCCACCTAAACTATTCAATCGAAATTATAAAGTTTTTGAAAATTTCTTGAGTTAGATTTTTTTTTATGTTGAATTTTTGAAAAATAAAAAAATTAGTCTCAGTTACAAGTAAGACATTTTTTGTTTGGGTCAATTCGATCAAATCTAAAAATAGGATTACAATCTAACCCTCTACCTAATTATTAGGTAAACTAAAAATATTTAACATTTTTTGAATACTTATATTTAAATTTTATAAAATTTTAATTATTAATATAAAATGTAGTGTGAATGGTAGAATTTTTTTAAAAATAATTAAAAAATCAATTAACCCTTACAACTCAAAAAAGGAAAAAAAAAAAATGAATTGAGTTAGTAAACTCTATTCAGAATGTTCGGGTCACCGATCTAACTAACCCAAAATTTTGAACTTATTCAAAAGATTACTCTAAACCCTAAACCTGTAACGATCATTTTAACTTGGATCAATCCCAAATTCTTCCAATTAATAACTGGCATATTGTCACATCGATATGGTATCTAAGAAGTAGAAATTTCAAACCTGTTCAATTATAAATTGTATTTACATGGTAGCTTCTATCTCCGGATCCGCTTCAACTGGCACAGCTGGAGTCTTGTTGCCACCTCTCAGACGTGAAGATACATTGTCAATGGCAGAATTCAATTGCCCTATTTTTTCATTCAACGTCTGTCTGGTTTTCTGCATTTCAGAAAATCATGTTCTATTAAGATATTAAGCATCTAATAAAGAAGTTGGACCTAGTTTGCACCTCGATAATTTGCTTCGAGTTAAATTATAAATTTAGTGCTTAGAACAAACTTCCTTTAGTTTCTAAATTTTCAAGAGTGTGTAATAAATCTCTAAGCTTTCAGTTCTATATCTAATAAATCTCCCACAAATTAAAAGTTCATAATCATTTATTAAGGCCCAAAACTTAAGTAATTGTGATTTAACCCATTACAAAGCCAATTATATAACCTTAAATTTGAATTGTGTATGTATATAAAGTGCAGTTTACTCGATGGAGATTATTCCTATTTGACAAACATGAGATGATTTAAAAGAAAAGCAAACCATTGAACAAAATAAATAGCACTCCATCCTGCTCGTTTACAGATCATTAACTAAACGATGTGCAGATGTAACTAATTTTTTTGGAAATTCAGATACGAAATAAACACACCTATCAGAGTTCAAGCATTGGATATTATATATACATACACACATATATAAAGGAAACTAAATTTCATAAATAATTAAATAAATAAACTACGAAAAGGATACAAGTCAATGTAGTTACCTCTAGACCGTCGTCATAGTAGATTGGACGTCTAGCCCTCCTAAAACCATACTCGTCTTCATTTAGTATAGATCTCCTGATCTGTATTACGTGCATACAATCAGAAAGGCAGTAAATAGATATTCAAACCTACGAGAAACCATATGACTCACTCAACAAGATTTAAGAAAATAGTCGAGAATATTGCGGAAGGAGGATGGCATAATTTTACTATAAAAGTTGAGAGTAACTGAACGCTACAATGAAACATATGTGGGGGCAAAGAAATAATCAGTCTTCTGAATTTGCATATCACAAGGAGGTATTAAACTGAATCAGAACATCAATGGTGATATCAAATCCAAATGATTACATTAAAATCTTTATTTCAAGAGAGAGCAGAACATTCAATCACCTGCGGAGCAAAAATGTAAGCTAAAGTTCCAAATACAGCACCCCCAAGAAGAAAACCAGCCACAAACTCCCCACCTCCACTTCTACCACCATCACTGTAACAGAAAGAAATCAAACTCGAATTGTTAGTCCAACTATCATTTAGGAGAAAAATAAAGGAAGACTTCCTCACAAGAAATAAACTCCTGAAGTAAATACAATTGGGCGACTTTAAAACTTAGAAGAGCTTATAAAACCTTATAAACGGGGCATAAAATGCATCATCATCCATGGCTACGCTGAACTTTATCTTTCTATTACAATCTAGAACCGTAGGAGAGAAACATGAAGATTTACAAAGAACTTTGATATCATTAAAATGACAAAGTAAAATCAAGATTTTAATGTTTTTGCGCTAGAATATCAATCCAACACCAACAAAGGTGTCGTCAAAGTCAGTATACATAAAGCCTAACCTATTGACATACCATTTGATCCTGAATTTTTTTTGGATTTGACGATTATTATCATGTCTCCTTTCATTATAATTCACACTATACATTGAGTTCTTTCTTGCAATTCTTTTCTTTGTCTTGAGGATGTCTTGCTAGGTTCTTGTCTTGCTGAAATTTTCATCAGTAGAGTTTTGCTATTCATATTGAACAGTAAGGACTAGAAGCCAAAGAAACCAGACAAAACAACATCCAAATCATTAAGTTTCAAGTACCCGGAGGGGGGAAGCTACTACAGAAGAAACAAATTTATAAAATAAACAATCATTTTTATGTGCTAGACAATTTATTATTACTAAAACTCATTAGTAGAATTGAAAACCTAAAATACATCTAAATAGATGACATATCTTAAATTGGGAGTAGTTCTAGGTAATCTCCTTCTAACATCTCAAGGAAGGATGCCTTGTCTTCTCTCCTTACTGTTCTTTCCATCTCTTAGTCTAAAGTACAGTTTCCTCCCTTGAACAAAAATAAAGGCATGCATGCTCAAAGGAAAATGCTAGTAAATAGGGAGAAAAAGGATTTTTACTCCAATTTACGATGTTTTCAAAACCCATGAAAGGGTAGTTCACATTTGGAGAAATTTAAGGAATTTTATTGGGCTTCTGGTAGGGAAAAGGAGGATAGAATTCATCATTTCAACAGCAATATAGTTTCTTCAAATTAAAAAAATCGGTGGTCTTGAGCAGGAGATCTAAGGAAAAGAACTATGGCTCTTGCCTCATAAATAAATACTTCACTAGAGATGGATCCCTCAGGTCATACAGTAGAGTTGAATTTGGGATTATATTCTCCCTAAAAAAATTGATAAGAATCTACTAGGAGTGCATTACAAAGGTTGTACAACTGTGTCCTTGAGTTCAATAGGTTGAAAACCTAAAATACATATAAATAGGTTCAATAGGTTGAAAACCTAAAGTACACTACGACCTTATTTGAACAGGATATGTTCAATAGGTTGTACAACTGTGTCCTTGAGTTCTAAGACCTGAATACACTACTTTCCTTTTAACCATGTCTTCGTAATCTACATTCTTTCTTATTTAATACTATCTCCTGCCTGCTCATCCCTACTCTCACCCAGCACCTACTTTTCTGGTAAGCATATTTGATTTGTATCACAACTGCGCTCCACTAACTTGAATTTGTAGTAACTAAAATCACTCAAAAAGGCAGTTACATCTGAAATTTCAGATTCATGCAACTTTAGAAGCCCGTCACTAAAAAGATAAATACCTCATATCCATCTAAATTTTCTTTTCATGCTGAAATATGGCCTACCTGACTTTAATAATAACAAAATGTAAAAAACTAAGGCTAATAAGCTTTGTTCTTTGAATAACACTACATTCACGTACTTGTACTCAGCACGGACTGATAACTTGTGGTTACTTCTCGAGCACTTCCTCTGGATGGCGAGTTTTGGTGCTTGCCCAAAGGAAATGGACTTCGAGGAGAGGTCTGAGGCCTTGATCAATCCCCCTAAACACAGAAGGAAAGTACGAAAAAAACGAAAAAAGAAAAGAAAAGAATTGAGCGATGAACAGATGGATTACCTTGTGAAAAGAAACGAGCTAAGCAAAGATAAACAGAACAAAAATCTTAAACGATCGAGTTACAAAAGCCAATCGCGACCTAGAATTCAACAAACCTCTTCCTCGAAATTAAGAAAACGTCTATAATAGCAATCTACATGGAACTGAAATGCAAAATACGTCACCAGGGGATTCATGCCTAATAAAGTTCCACAGATTGAATACGAAATTGCTTTTATCTTATTAAATTCATCCGTTTCCAGAGCTTTTCAAAGCAACCTTACGGGCGATAATTACTAAGGAAAAAGTTCGACATACTCGATCACTCGAAACAAACGCAGAATCAAGTGAATATGCATAGATAGGGAAATGAAAACCTTGAACAGCAAATCTAAGAGAGAAAATAAAAGATTTACCAGATACAGAGAGCGACGGAGCCAAGCAGGCGGCCATATGGAAAGAGAGCAGAGATGAAGATGAGAAATCAACGAAGTTGGAGAATGAGAAAGAACTAACAAGAGAGAGTGTTTAAGATAGTTGTGAACACGACTCTCCTCGCTTTGCTTTGGACTCATAAGCTCTCCGGCCTTCCCCAAAAGGCTTCAAACCAACTAAGAATTCATTGTAAATCGATGACCATTCTCTAAATTAATCAATGTGGGACACTTTCATCTAACACCTCTCCTCGAACAAAGTACGCCTCCCCTTAATCGAGACTCGACTCCTTTAGAGTCTTAGTCATTTTTTACCGTCTTCGAGGAGGCTTGACTCTTTTTTTCTTTTTGGAGTCCTTTGTTCGACATTCGAAGATTTGTCAATCTATTGACACGACTAAGTTTAGGGCATGACTCTGATACCATGTTAAACAAACACGACTCTCCACGATGGTATTCTTTTTGGAGTCCTTTGTTCGACATTCGAGGATTTGTCAATCTATTGGCACGGCTAAGTTTAGGGCATGGCTTTGATACCATGTTAAACAAACACGACTCTCCACAATGGTATGATATTGTCCACTTTGCGTGCCGATGTAGCCAAGTGTTTGACTATATCGATCAAGGTTCCATGTTGTTGCGGTTGGTGCTAGTTTGTGTGCATGTGAACCAACCCAACAATCAAAGAAAGGATGTTTTTTGAGCCATCTGAAAATAGTATGAAGAAAAACTCCCACGTACATTTCATTTTTTTGGGGGGATTGGAGAAGGACCTCAACAAAGTCCCCTAAGGACTTTTCCCGAGCCGAAGTATCTCGTGTGATTGTCATACTACGTTTCAATAATATGTTTAAATTTAAAAAACACCCTTAAACTAAAAAAAAAAAATGTTCAAACCTTTTTAAGAGTTTCAAATACTTATGAATTTTTAAAAGTAACATTAAAAAATTTAGAGATAATTAACTACAGGTCAATGAACCGTTTTGATCTATATTATTAACCGTAAGATTTTTTTTTTTAATTTTTCTTTTTATAAAGCTAAAACGTGTTAATGTTACTTGTAATATAGTACTAACTCTAAGGGTATTTTTGAACTTATTTTAAAAGTTGAAAAGGTATTAATGATTTTTTTTAAAATTCAAAGATATTAATAATTTTTTTTTAAAGTTTAGAGGTATTTTTAAAATATTATTAAAAGTTTAAAAATATTTTTGAAACAAAATATTAATAATTATCGTCTAAAACTAATGAAAACTAATGAAAGGATATTCTTATGTTTTTTTTTTTTTTTTTTTTTTTTGAAAGTTTAAGAATATTATTAAAATTTTTAAAAATTTCGTTTGAGATGAGATAAAATACATAACTTTAAAAACATTTTTATTACGTCATCCTTTAAAAAAAAAATGTAACGGGTATTAGTATGGTCTTGGAGAGTAAAAAAAGTATACTACTAATAATTACCAACTTTTAAGTATTCTTCATCAAACCATAATTTGAGATCAATCTAATCATAGAGTCGTTTTGAGGTACATATGTACATATCAAAATACGTCAATTCATAGATGGGTAGATATTCACTCTTAACATTACGAACTTGTCGATTCATATACATATCATTGTTGGACCTAGCAACGTAATTTCTAAGACTACGTCTGAAAGTTTTGTTCGAACATATCACTTACCCGTTTTTGCTTAGTTTCAAAGTTTAAAAGGAGATATGGATTTGAAAAGAAAAGGTTATAAAAAATGGTAAATTTTATATCCTAAAAAGAGATCTCATGCTAAGTATGTTCTTATCCCTTTACCTTCTTTAAATACTCAATGTTTTGCACCTTTGAAGTCGCTATTTTGAGTTCAATGTATGAATGATCTAAGTTTTTGAAATGTAATATTGTTATTTTTGAGCTTTTCCTTTTAAGCTTCCCTCAAAGTTTTTGAAACGCTAGATAAGATCTCATAATCCACTCCTTCAAGGGCCAACGTCCTCGCTTGCACTCATCCCTCTCCCATTGATATTGTCCCCTCTCCAATCGACGTGGAATCTCACAAATTCGATCTCTAACCTTGAACATATGTCTAAACCAATTAAAATATCTATCTTCAATCAAATCTCTTACCTCAAATATATATTTAACACATTAAACCAGAATCATGTTGAACTCTCAAAAATATCATTTTGAAAAATCAATGAGGCTATCAGCTTAACCCTTTTTGAAGAAGCCTGTAAAATATGGGAATAAACAATTAAGACAATGGTCTGTATCATACTCAATTTCTAGTTGGCTAGAGTGTTCAAAGGACAACACTTCGCAAGTAAACTTGAGAATCTTGGTAAAATCTCAAGTCCCAAGTAGTAGACAGCATATGATTCAACTAACACATATGCTGCTGCCTAACAACAGCTTAGAACAAGAACTAAAGGAAATTAACAGTGAACTATAGGAAGGGTAGCACAGAGAGAGTACTGTCAAGGTGAACATATTGGTCTGTAGTACCTGATTGTTAGTTAACAAGCAAATATTATTTCTGTTTCCATTCTACTAATATATACAAACCGCCGTAATTCTGATCTTTCAGTCAAAAGTGCTCAAAGATGAATAACTAAAGTATATCCAAGAAAAAACTTAAGGAGAAAAGGGGAAAATAATTACTGGTATATACTTTTGAGAGGGATATGAACAGATGGAAAGCGGGTCCTCACGTAACGAAGCCCTTGAAAGATCAGCTAACATAACCTGGTATACATTTTGCCGAACGCAAATTCGACGCCATAAAGATGAGATGAGAGTAACAACATCATATCATTCCTATTTCTCTGACAAACCCCCCAAAGAGAATCAGTGAAGTATTCACATTTCACACATTTCACATACCACCGATCGGGTAGAAGCTGTTTTGTTTTCGGAACAGTTTTTGCCGATTGTTGCTTCTCTGGGAATGGAGAGACAAAGACAATGTTAGGGATGTAGAGTCATCTTCCTCTTCACCATCTATCACCTTTTCTGAGGACTCACTATGGCTATGTTTCTCATCCACTAAATCCATAAAAAAAGGAATCATACTCTTTTTTCGTAGCTTAGTATCCGCCCCCAACGCAAGCTCGAGATTTGGCACCGTATCGTGATATTGGTTCTCATTTTTGGCTGGACGTGCTAAGTGGTGATCCTCTAGTTGATGTGAATCAACAACAGGAAAGAAGTGCTTTTCAGCAGTTTCAAAATCTTCTGGAATAACATTCACATCACATACTATATTACCTCCCTTTTTCTGAAATAAAAACGTGGGACCGATATCATTACGTGGTGAGACATAAGCATCAGATTGTGAATTTATACCACCTGAACTATAACTATTTTCATATGAGTTACCAAAGCCTGTCCTCATCTTTTTGCTGACATTTTCTTCATCCATCACTATACAGTCCACCTCATCATCCCGAGAAGTACGTTTCTTAGCACTAATAGAGACTAGAGCTGCTGGTAAGATGTCCATCTGTTCTCGCTTTCTGTGATCGAACTCCAGACAATGGATTGCTTCGGAATTTAAATCTCTTTTTGAAATACCTTCAGAGTCTGAACTCCCTTCTGCTGTCCGTAGTATAACTTTCTCTCCTTCACAAACCAATCTATCTACAATTTTCTCACCTGCACTAGTTTTTTTCATGTCATCAATGGTCTTAATGAATGGCGGCATATCTTCTGTTGTTGCACCGAAGTCCAGCTTCACATTCTTATTATCATTAACACCTACAATTTCTTTAACTTGAATGGTCGGTTCAAATTGCTCCCCTTCTATGGTCTCTGAACGATCATATTCCTTCTGCAAAATAAGAGAACATCAATGGATCCATTAATATCAAGAGTGAGAAGGCCTGATAGGACTAAAATGAACAACTATGGCAATCCGAAAAGGAAATGCAAAATAGAGAAGTATACCACAAAAAGAAGTGATAAAGAAATGAAAAGGTACAGTGACGTCAGGAAATGGGCTGGAAGAAGGAAAAGGGAGGGAACAAGATATAATATCTGATATTCAGTTATATATCCTATAATTAGAAAATGAAATTCCATTCCAGTTCACAATAAGATGGAGCTAGATATCCAATGGACAACAAAAAACACGATCTAATCCACATTGTATTCATCTCCGAAATAGCCCACCTAATCAGCAATCAATTCACCCATATAACTGATGGGCAAACTTAGCATCATATTAGATTTTCAGTTCATCCAAGCACCTCTCTATCTTCAGCAAGAACTCCTTCAAAGTTTCCTGGTTCTGCCAGGTTAAACCAAGGTCTGGTCAAAAGAAACAAAACAATGTAGGAAATAGCGATCTAATCTGTTAGGAAGAACTAGGATTATAAAATGAGGCCCGAGTGACACATGAAGTAATGAATAAATACTCACAATTCAGAATTAATTAAAAAACTTGACCCAAAAGAAAAAAAAGAAAGCAAACGCCATCCCACACTAACCATTATACATCAAATATTCATTGTAGTTTAGAGAAGGCAAATTACACTTTATTTCCCAAGTTTTAAATTTGGACATTTTAACCTCGAGTCAGCATCATGAAACAGTTCAAAATAATCTCCACCATTAGCTTCCATTAAATACAGTAACAAAATGAAAATGGAGCAAAATATCAATGACATCAACATTAAAAAGAAATCAATTGAACCCAAAATGATTAATTTATTAACTAAAGTCAATAATTAAAGTAAAATGCAAAAAAGTTGGAGTTTTCCAATCATAGACCATCGTTACTCAAAATTTAAAGCATAAAATGGGAATGCTCTCCATTTCATTTTGGGAAGGGGTGGATTCAGTACCCTAACTTGAGGGCGTCTCTTTGAGGGGTTTATGAAAGGAGGGAGATGCCAAAGATTGATTTGGGAAAGGAGGTGATATGGTCAATTGGAAGTTTTTGTTGGTTTATGAAAAAACAGCTACGGGGGTACATGGCTCAAGTGGATTAGTGGATAAATAATGGCTGCCAAATTCTCAGTTTTCCTCAACGAGAAGCCTAGAGGGTAATCTGAGCATCTAGGGCCTTGAGGGAGAAAAGAAGATCATTTATCACCCTTCCTTTTTGTGTTGGGA